ATCCATCCCCCGCTGGTAAACCCAAAACTCCCCCTAAATGTCACCCAGAGACCCCAAACCCCCCCCAGAGACCCCAAAAATCCTCTCAGAGACCCCAAAAGCCCTTCCTTGATAGACCCTTAAAAAATCCCCCCAGAGACCCCAAAAACCAGCAAGAGACCCCCAAAAAATTCCTAAAGAGACCCCAAAAAATCCCCCAGAAATCCCAAACCCCCCCAGAGACCCCCAAATATCATCTCAGGGACCCCAAAACCTCCTTAGAGACCCCAAAAAATCCCCCCAGAAACCCCAAGAACCCCCTCAGAGACCCCAAAAATCCTCTCAAGAGCCCCCAAAAACCCCTTCACAGACCCTAAAAACCCACTAAAAACCCCCCAAAAAATCCCCAAAGAGACCCCAAAAAATCCCCCAGAGACCCTCATGACCCCCAAAATCCACCCAGAGACCCCAAAATCCACTCAGGAACCCCCAAAAATCCCACAGGGACCCCAAAATCCCCCCAGGGACCCCAAAATCCCCCCAGGGACCCCAAAATTCCACCCAGGGACCCCAAAAAATCCCCCAGGGACCCCAAAATCTCCTCAGGGACCCCAAAATTCCACCCAGAGACCCCAGGGACCCCCCCCAGTCCATCCCAGTTCCCCTCAATCCCTTCCCAGTCTCCTCCCAGTTCCCATCAATCCCTTCCCAGTCCCCTCCCGGTCCCTCCCAGTGCTCCCAGTGCTCCCAGTACCCTCGGGGAACACGTGCACCCAGTCTCCCTGGTTGAGTTTCTCCAGTATAAAATCCATCCCCCGCTGGTAAACGCCGTCCCCTGCGGCACCAGTTCAAACTGGGACCCTCCCAGTACGGACTGGGAGCGGCCCAGAGCAAACACAGTCCTCCCAGTATGGACTGGGACGCTCCCAGTATGGACTGGGAATGTCCCAGTGCCTCCCAGTATAAATAAGAAGCAACCCAGTTCTCCTCAGCGACCCCCATTCCCATTCCAGTTTGTCCCAGTCCCCCCAGTCCATTCCCAGTCCCCCCCAGTACCCTCCCAGTGCGCGGCACACGGGCACGCAGCACTCCCAGTCCCCCCCAGTCCATTCCCAGTCCATTCCCAGTGCTCCCAGTCCCTCCCAGTCCCTCCCAGTGTCCCCAGTCACCGCGGCAGACGGGCACGCAGTGCTCCCAGTCCCCCCCAGTCCCATTCCCAGTCCCTCCCAGTCCCATTCCCAGTCCCAGTCCCATTCCCAGCCCCATTCCCAGTCCCTCCCAGTCCCTCCCAGTTTGCCCA